ACTTTTACATTTTCGAATTATTTTGATATTCTTTGTGGCTAATATTTCATTTAAAAATTTCAAAGAATATTCGCGTATTGAGGTTTAGTTTATTGGTTAGAAATTTATTTTATTGGTCAGTCTTTATTAACATGGGGGTGACTAATGCGCCGCACGATCGCGAGCGATCGTTTTTTATTAATGTGTGTTAATTTGCTTGCGTCCACGTTCACTCGACGACGAGATGCCATTTGTTTTAATGCAACCGAGGACTTTTCGTTTTCATTAGACAACAACGTATTTATCTTCATTCTGATCAACAAAGCGGAGAATTTCTCGTGGTACTCGCGCTTTGATGTGGTGCTTCAAATAACCATACGAGGCACGCAAAACCAGCTCGGAATCTCCCCTTTTCAACTCGCGAACCGCAAAGGAAACTGGATTCACCGAAACCGCGAACGAGACTGCCACAAACTGAGCGACGCTTGCAAGGTTGACCGTCCGTGAATTATTTTTCCGTTACTCAACGAATCACCCGCGAGATTAACCCTTCGCGAACAAGAATTTTTTCAACTTCCACAAATTCATTCCACAAGAAACTGAATTAACCTTCGAAGTCTTAAATAACAGAACATAACGAAACCACACATCAGTCTTTGGTTATTCAGATAATTAAATTATTCACTCGCAGCTTTTGAATTTAGGTATCAACGTTCGAAATCGCTATCGACGCATTAAAACAAGAATACTAATAATGTCTGAGTGTAAAAGAAATATCAAGCCACCAGAATTTTAATTAACCATTGAACAAATTCTGTACAATACTATTAAAAGGTTTCTATCACAATTATAAAATAACATTGTTGTCAATCATATTGTCTAATTAATTCCAAAATTGAGTCTCAACGATTTGTATCTAGGAAAACTGAAAACTGCGTAAACACCATCAAACAACGGGCAGACACTAAACATTTATGCAGGTTTACGCTTTCATCCGTTAATTTGCAGAAACTGCGATCAAATAGAAGTAAAAAGTTAATTAAATAGAAATTACCTAGACGTTTCCTAATTACATTTTCAATACCTTTGCGAGACACAAATACATTAGTCGTCGATTTCGTAACGATGTCGCGAACGAAGAAAAATATTTAGAGAAAGAGAAAGAGAAAGAGAAAGAGAGAGAGAGAGAGAAGAATCGTGAAAGTCCTCCCGCGAAAGAAGAAAAATTCTGAATTGACTAATAAAAGATCAGCAGCCAATCGGATCGCCAAAGGAGCACATCTCGTTTCTTCGCGTTATTCAATGCTCGTAAACACGCCCGCTAAATGCGCGGCCGCCTTGATTGCTTTTCTATATCGCGACCGCCGATAATGGACTCGTTACGCGTATTTGTCGACGGGCAAACGAGTCATTCAACGGCCATTCTTACGCGCACGCCAATGGCGCTCCATATTTCATTGCCGACGCGTGCGCTGGACTCGCGATTTCCAGCGAAATTTATTTCTCCGTTAAATTCCAATGAAAACTACACAAAGGGCAAAGAT